CGAATTACCAAAAGAATGGAAATTATCTATCATGTCAACTATCCACAAAAAGGGCAGTAAGGATCACTGTGAAAATTACAGAGGAATTGCGGTAAACAGAACAATAAGTAGGATGTATGGGAAACTTATTAAGAAGAAAATAGAAAATGACTATAGAGATTGCGAAGCAGAAGAGCAAGCTGGTTTTAGAGCTGGGCGATCCACAGTAGACCACCTGTTCTCTATTACGCAAGTTATTGAGAAAAAAAACAGCCTTCAATAAAGAAGTTCACCTGGTGTGCGTAAACTTACAAAAAGCATATGACTTAAAAGTGTAATCACATATGGCAGTGAAGTTTGGCCAATGAAACAAAGAACAGAGAAACTGTTACTAGCAACAGAAATGGACTTCTGGAGAAGAGCAGCAGGCAAATCAAGAAGAGATCGGATACCAAATGAGAGAATACGAGAAATGATGGGAGTCAAGCATACAATAGTTAATCACATAAAAACAAAACAGTTAATATGGTACGGCCATGTACAGAGAATGCCAGATGACAGGATTCCAAAACAGATTTTGACGTGGACACCACAAGGGAGAAGGAAAAGAGGAAGACCGAGAAGAAGCTGGAGAGAGGGAATTGAAAAAGAACTAGAGGAAAGAGAAATCCCTTCAGACCTATGGTTGAATAGAGAAGAATGGCGGTTAGGAGTCGGAAGGCGTCGGAGAACTAGTAGTAGACAAAAAAAGCTAAAAGGTTAATAAAAGAATATATGTAAGAAAATTATTAAGAATTGATACTTTTTTGAAAATAATAAATTGATTAAAGAAGAAGATGTTACGTGGAGGGAAAATGTTATTTCATCATCAACCTGTATGCGTTCACTGCTGGATATAGGTCTTCATCGGCTCTTTCCACTGATCCTATCGTGTGCGGCTTGCATCCAGTTATTGCTAACACGCTTCAGCAGGTCGTCAGTCCATCTAGTTGTTGGGCGTCCTCTTCTTCGTATTGCTTCTTGTCTTGGTCTCCACTCGACAATACGTTTTGTTCATCGGCTGTTTGATAATCTGGCGATGTGTCTTGCCCAATTCGATCTTAGCGACTCGATTTTTTCGATCAGCAGCATCTAAGGCAGCTCTTTTAGTTCTTTTAAACAAGCCGACTGCTAAATATGAACATCTCTACCAACAAAACTAAATGTATGACAATAGCAAAAGATCCGCTTAGATGTAAGTTAGTGGTTGAGGACAACCCCATAGAACAGGTGATGCAATTCAGATATCTGGGCATAGATATATCAAGCACCCACGACCCAGTAAAGGACCTGAGGAGTCAGATCAATAAAGCATCTGCACTGTCAGGATGTCTGCGGGAGATAGTCTGGTCCATGGTCTGGTCAAATCCGTATATGCGCACAGATAGTAAAATTAGAATCTATAAGACTTGCATACATAATAATAATAATAATACGACCGATTATGACATATGGCATAGAAGTGCGTGAAGATACCAACAAAACGAAACAGATGCTAAGGGTTGCCTAAATGAAAACCCTAACAACAATAATGGGGAAAACAAGAAGAGACAGAGTGAGAAATACAAACATTAGAGAGCAGTGCAAAATTCAAGATATTGTAAGATGGGGAAGGCAGCGCAAGAGGATGTAAGACGAATGGATGAGAATAGACTCCCAAAAATTGCCCTAGAAAACAATCCGCCCGGTTCAAGACCCCCCGGAAGACCACCTAAAAGATGGAGGGATAGTTGGCAATCTACCTCCCAAGAAATTAACCAGAGGCAGCTTCAGAATTAAACAGATCGAAAGATTTACAAAAAGTAGAAGAAGAAGAAGATTTTTTCGATGAGGTCTGTTGCTTTTGTTCTACGGCATATTTCTTCGTTTGGGATTTGATCTCTCAGAGGGACACCAACATCTGGCGCCCTCTGAGTCACGTGAATCTTGATCACTACACTTTTTGTGAGTGTTCCGCTCCATCAGTGAGTACAGGTAACACACATTTGTCAAAAATTTTCATTTTGAGGCATATGGGTAGATCCATAGAATACATAGTTTAATTTACCAAACGCTGCGCAGGCTAATCCTATGGGGACGTAGGAGCTCACATGTCTGGTTATCTCTGCCCAACTTAATTTCATGTCTGCGCAATACCGAGCTTCTCTCTGTTTATGTTGATATCATGCTCGTTCCTGTGGCGCACCCAACAGAACAAATCTGTTGCGAGTAGCATGCGCCTACAGGACTGTATCTGCGGCGGCCCTGTGGACTATCACGGGTTGTGTTTCTCTGCATGCGTTAGCAGTAGAAAAGAGACATTTCTATGGGAGAAGGGAGCATTTGACAACAGCTATAAAAAAAGAAGAAAGGGAAAAATCAATGGAGAGATAGCAAGAAAAGTGGAACAACAAGGAAGATGTTGCCCAGTGGACCAAGATGCTGATCCAGAGCCTAAAGGACTGAGTACATTGTCTGCTTTAGGGCGTATCTTCATAGGTTCAGAAAGACTGATACAGATAAATGCCTATACTGCGAATATTCCGACATTGTTACTTACACAATGCTGGAGTGTAACAGATGTACAGTGGAGAGAAATAGAAACGAAATAGGAATGAACCTTGTAACTGTAAGAGACATGATCGTGAAGATGACGGCAAGTAGGGAGGGATGGAATAGTGTTTAAAATTACATCCGAGCAGTCATTAAAAAGAAAGAAGAGAAACACCAACCAGGCCAACGACAGAGATAAGATCTAATTACTATTTTAATGGGAATAAGCCGCAATTGAAGGTTAAAATAAGTTTATTGACGTTTGAAGCTTTGAAAACAAGGATGCAGTATGTCACTTTTACTGTCTAATTTTTTATATTGAGGCAGCTCTCTAAAATTGGAAAAACCACTGCCAAGGAATGGGAATCCCCATTGGAAGTGACGTACTGTTCTTTTTGAACTTTGCGGATGACCAAGTCGTCCTAGCTCAAGCTTCTTTGATCTAGAATTTATGATAAAGCGTCTATACAGAGAATATGTCAAATTGGGGTTGCAAGTCAGCAGAATATTTAGTTATCAATTCAGATGCAAGGTTTAAAGTGTTGATAGACGAGGGCGTGGTTTAGGCTCTGAAGTATGGACAATTAATGCAGACCTGAAGAGAAGATTGTTGGCAGTTGAAATGGATTATTTGAGAAGAAGTGCTAGAAAATGAAGGCAGGAAAGAAACACCAACGAATCTATACGAAATAACATGAATGCTACAGAAACGGTCATTAACAGAATAAAAAGAAGAGGTTCAAAATGGTTTGGACACATTGAGAATACCTGACAAACGTCGGCCCCAAAAACTTCACAAATGGAAGTCCAGTGAAAGAAAAAAAAAGAGGTGGACCTTGACACTCATGGACTGAAGGAATTAGAAGAACGATAGAATTTATAATAATATTTAGTTATTATCATAGCCTTAGTCTTTAACACATTTAACTTTAGTTTGTTGATTTTGAAATATTTATTAACATACTGCAATGCTGGATTTATTCTAGATTAAGCATTTTCTAAGTTTGAATCAAAACATGCAAGTAGGGTGTCATCTGCATACAAATTAAAGAAATCTCAATTAACAAACAAGTTTATACCATTTAAATAATATATGAACAAAACAGACCTTAAGACACTACATTGAGGTACTCCAATATTGACACTAATTTCAGAAAAAGTAATATCATTAATCCTCACTTGTTGCTTTATATCCAATAAGTAATCTTTAAACCATTCAAGAACATTTCCTCCAATACCATAGCCTTCTAATTTAGTGAGAAGTATATTACCATCAATAGTTTCAAAATCTCTTTTTAATCAAGGAATACTACTATCAAGTACTACATATTTATCAGTGTCCAATTCAAACCTGAATTTACAAAGTGAAAGTTGCAGTGTAGTTTCGCAGGAATACTTTTTACGAAAAGCTGACTGACTATCCATTAAGATTTCATTTATATCAACCTGATTCATGACTTGATTATATACTACCAAATCTAATAATGTCTCAATGGGCGGAAGTATATTTATAGGTCTAAATTTATCCGCCTTAATAGTATTATTAACTTTTGGTATTGGAACAACTGTACTGATTTTTAATAAATCTGGAATTTTTGATGACCTAAGAAAAGTACTTATAAAGATAAGGTGACCACAAGTTACAAAAAACTCTTTTAAAATTTTGGAGTTTGGTATTTCATTAATATTACTCCTATTATCAAACGACTTAACCATGACTGTCAGGTCACTCAGTGATAGTAACCTAAATTCATGAATACTGGGATACAAATTCTGATTATCATAGCTATATAGTGTTTTTAGCGTTTTCCACATAAGTCTAGAGTTATTTTTATCCTATCGATTTTATCAAAATAATATTGTTCTGTTTTTGCTTTTAAGATATTAACTACCATATTTCGTGCTCTTTTAAATCCTCCCATTTGACATTTCTATCACTTCTGTTAGTAGTTTTAAACCCTTTGTATAATTTTTTCCTAATCTGACATTACTTTTGATCTGACATGTTTGAATAAGTGCTATTTTATTTATGACAGACTGACTGTTTAATAAAATCTGATAAAATTGATAACATTACTGAAATACATTTGGATATAATGGATCATTTACCGGAACATGATGGAAATGACTTGGATGTGTTCCATGTACGAAAATTAAGTACGTCACTAAAAAAATCTTTGACTTTTTCTGTTTGGTTGATCGACGTGAAGAAGTATATGTCATTCTCTTTCTTCCAGCTTATTCTACAGCGCTACTAGACCAAGAAAGTTGTACGGATCTGTTGTAATAAAATGTTAACTTTATCTGATGAAATGCGTGTTTCAGACACGGCAGTAAGTAGTCTTCCTACTTTGTTCCTCCAGTAGCATTACTGCAGTTCTTTTAAATACTTACAACGCTCTATTACTCGTTAAAAGGAGAAGGTATATAATAAACTAAATACAACAAAATTAATAAAAAATATATAGTGTATAATTAAAAAATGCAGTCACATAATATATAAAAACAACAATAAAAATTACTTAAGTTCTTCTTCATACATTTGCTTCAACTCTCGTCTCAACGTCTTTCCACTGGCATTCTTCGGAATACTGTCGACTACAGAGATTCCACCTTTTAATTGTTTGTACGGCGCCACTTTCGCATGAACATGATTCTTCAATTGATCTATATCAATTTTTGCGTTAGGTTTGGCAACTATGTAGGCCCTGGGAATTTCGCCCTCCAGATCGTGAGGAATACCGATCACAGCTGCGTCAAGGACATCGGGAAAGTCCCTGATTATTTCTTCAAGTTCAGCCGGAGCCACCTGCGAGATAACAAACGTTTTTATCTACCTCAGTGACATTAAAATATACATACTCTCGTAAAATTGTCAAAAAAATTGAGATTATATAATTTGAGAAGCAGAAAACGCTAATAAACAGAACCTTTATTACCAACCTGGAATCCTTTAACTTTTATCAACTCCTTCAGTCTATCTTTAATGAATAAGAATCCGTCGTCATTGTAATACATCATATCTCCCGTTCTCATCCATCCGTCTACAAAAATATTCTCCTCTGGTCGATTTAAGTACCCTTTCATGACTTGAGGTCCCTTCACCAAGAGCTCCCCGAGTTCGTTGGGTCCCAAGGGTGCACCTGATGGGTCCTCGGGATTAACTATTTTCAACGTAGTGTTGGGAACTGGTCTTCCGATGGATCCCTTTGCACTTTCTTTGTTGTACTCTGCTGGTCGGGTAGTTATTACCGCAGGTGATGTTTCAGTTAAACCATAACCTGAAAATATTAACGTGTATTTAAAATAATTTATCAAATACAGCCATTATTGTTTTTAGAAGGGTTTCATGATTTTTTCAATATCTTCCAGTCGAGATAATACCATATAAAATATTAAATTAAAAATATACCTATTCCTAAAAAGACTTATGTCTATTTCAGGATATTTAAGTATTTCATTGTTTGCGTCGAATCAACAAAGGGTAGCAAAAAGTGGTTGACGTGTGAGTATATCGTAAACACATAAGGGCACTTTAACCTTTGACCCCTGGCATCACATTTTTTCTTTTTCTTTATTCATATTGAAATGGTACTAGATTCTAAACACCAATCGAACAGCCTCCGATCAGGTCTGTACCAGGACTTGAACAGCTCTGCATAGGCCTTGGACAGCTTAGCTGCAGCAACAACATTGACACTAGAAAAGTAGACACTGAGGCGCACTTTGACACTTGACGTCACGTTCTCTATTTAAATCTTTAGTCATACTGAACTAATCCTAGATTCTAGTAACCAATTGAACAGCCTCCATTCAGCGTTTAAACAAGTCTGTAACAGGCATTGTATAGCTTTTTAATAGCTTTGAACAGGCCTTGAAAGCTTTAAAACTTTAAACAGGTTTTGGACAGCTTAGTTGTTCAAAAGCTGATCAGAGGCTGTTCGATTTATGACTAGAATTTAGTTCCATTTAAATATAAATAATGATTTAAAGGGAAAATGTGATGCCAGAGGTCAAAGTGCGTGTAAGTGTCTACCTTTCTACTGAGTATATTGTTAATATTATTTTTAATGTTCATATTTTACTTTTAAAGAGTCACTTTTGCTGATCAGAGAAGAAGAGGAAGACCCAGAACAAGGTGTCTTGATAACATCGATGAAGATATGAGAAATATGGCAATACGTACTTGGCGGAGAAAGGCAAAAGATATGGATGACTGGAGAGAAATTCTTAAGGAGCAGGGTTGTAAATCCAGAGTGATGATGATGATTTTACTTTTAAAAACTTAATTTATTATACGAATCTTACATTTAGCTAGATAAATCAAAGACCATACCTTGGAGTATTGGAAGATCTTTATTAGCCTTTTCCGTTAACCGCATACCATCCAATTGCCCTAAAGGAGCTGCACCGTTAACTACTGCCCTAACTGGTTTAAAGTCTTCCGCCTGTACTTGGGGAACTTTTCCTAAAAATATAGCTGAAACAGAAAACAATATTAATAACTAAGACTTACACAATACTAAGAACATTTTCATTGTCTTCTCACAAAAACAAATAACCTTAGATTGTCTTTATGCTGAAAGGTCTAGGATATTTCCTGAAAGGTCTAGGAGAAAGATAGAAAGGCTTCGTCTGAACCTTTTAAATTGGTTTGAGTGTTACTGTAAAATCACAGCATCAGCTGGTGCATTATAATCCAGTTCAGGATGTTGTTAGTTCATTATTTTGATAGTTAAGGTAAAAGACGTCATGTGAATACTTACCTATGGGTGGAGCTAAGTACAATACGTTTGGCTTATGTTTCTTCAAGGTACCTATGTATAGTTCTGGAGTAAATTTTGGCAAGGTGACTATCTTAACCCCCAGTTTAATTTGAAACATACTAAGGATCGTCAATCCGTAAATATGAAACATTGGCAACACCGCAGGCACGACATCTTGGTGATCAGCTAAAATTTAAGACGAAGTTATAGACAACGTTTTGGTATTTAATATATTGTAAGTTTAACACTTACGTGTGGTTTGTCTGCTGATAAGCAATTTCGGATGTCCAATTTGGGCAACATTGGCTACTATATTGTGATGTGTTAGCATGACACCTTTTGGCAAGCCAGTTGTTCCACTAGAATAAGGTAAAAATGCGACGCTATCCCATGATTCGTCACTTGGTAGGTCTGCGTTGTAATCCGCCAGTTCGGCAAAGTTCGCTGCACCCGATGGAACACTTTGACTTTGCTGAAATTATACCGAAAATTGTTAGATTATTGAATTCTTTATTTTCAAAAATTGTTAAGTTATATAAGTAAATAGACTATATACTTGTTAACAAAAGATATGGGAATAGTTTCAACAGTGTTAAAACCTACCCAGGCGCTGATATTCAATCTGACCACAATCTTTTAGTGGGCGCGTATAGAACCAAGTTAAAGAAAACACGAGGAAAACTGTAAAAATACATGACATAAGAAATCTGAAATGTAGTAAAGTAAAAGAAATAGTCACCAAAACAATAAATAGAAAATTCAAAGAAATCGAAAATACAACGGAAAGCACAGAAGAGAAGATAGAATTCCTTAATAAAACGATAAACGACATTAAAGACAATTAATGTGTTCTCGTGTAACACTAACATGCGTTTTCTGTGCCGCAGTGAAACGATTTATATGGACGGTACATTTAGTTACTGTGCTCAATATTTCAAGCAATTTTTTACCATACATGTATTTATCAATGGACATTATATACCATTGTGTTATACAAAGAACTTAACATCAAAAAAATGCTACAAAAATCGAAGATATTTTTCAACAACCAATATCTTAAGTTCAATTTATTACCTAGTTATGTCAAAGGTAGGCTCAGAGAATTCAATTTCAATACTGCAACAGTAAAACAAATAAACATCTTGGGAAGATCCATCATCAGAGACGAGATCAGGAAGATATACCAGACAATTTACACCATAGATTTACAACTGAAGGCAACATATGACAATTTACATCAAAAATTGACCTCACAGGAGTTCGATGGGTGGATGTGCAATCTGCATGGTACATTGGATTACCTTAGAAGTAGACAGTACAGAAAATCACGTACAAAAATCAACAATTCATGATTTCATTGTGTTATTGTTTACTTCCCGACAAATCGGAACAAACCTATATAAAACTATTTAATGTTTTGAAACGCAAATGTGAAGTAATTGGTCTAAAATTCAATCCAAAAATCATTTTCTCCGATTTTGAAAATGCTATCCACAATGCTGCGCGTTTTGAATTTTCAAATGTGCACATTAAAGGGTGCCGTTTTCATCTTATGCAAGCTTGGTATCGTAATATCGGTGGTTGTGGCTTAATTCGGGAATATAAATTGGCAGACAGTGAAATATCTAAATGGCTGAAATATATTTTTGGGCTGCCATTTTTACCTCCCTCAGAAGTCGAAGAATCTTTCATATATGATTTTATGGCTATTCAAATTGAAAAGTTGGAAAAGTTTTCCGACTACTTATTAGACAACTACATTGGCGACCACGCAATATTTCCGTCGGAGATGTGGGCTGCGATGAGTGAGAGTTTACAATTAACAACTAATGCTTGTGAATCGTTCCACTCTCGTTTTAATGATATTTTTACCATGCTCATCCAAATATTTTCCATTTTATTGATGTTTTAAAAAAATTTCAAACTGAAACTTACATTAAAATTAATAGTGTCTGTAATAGTGAAAGTAATAGACTTAAAGATCCAAAGAGCAGAAAAAAAAATTATGTTCGTTAGAAATAGGATACATGAGTATCAAACTAACTGTATCGATCGAGTCCATTTCGTAAAATGTATGTCATATTTATTTCAAAGTGACAAATAAACCTTATCAAGCTTAATCTCTAGAATTTTATTACCTGACTTTCCATTTACATTTCAATTACACCCAGCGTCCAAATCATGTATGCAGAAACAGGTAATTTTATTTTTCAGTGTCGCATTTTAAATTTAGCGTCCAAATCATGCACGCCCCCTTCGAGATGTGGCTCTACAGAAAAGTCCTAAAGATATCATGGACGGACAAGATAACCAACGGACTGTACTACGAAGAATGGGGAAAGAAAGAGAAGTGATGTATACTATTAAAAGAAGAAAGTTAGAATATCTCGAACACATAATGAGAAACGGCACTAAATACAGATTACTGAAAATAATCCTTCAAGGCAAAGTATTCAGAAAGCGAGGAATTGGAAGAAGAAGAATACCATGGTTAAAAAACCTGAGGAAATGGTTCTCCACAATAACAACCAATCTATTTAAAGCATCAGTTAATAAAATCATTATAGCCAGAATGATCACTAATATTCGAAACGAATAGGCACCAAAAGAAGAAGAAGTGATTTCTTGTTCATCTTTCACCAATAAGATCTTAAAAAAATTAAGATAGTAGTAACGTTCTTTTTATTAATTATTACTATGAGCTGTATTAGTATGTATTTCAAAACAATGCAGAAAAAATAATACCATGGCAATAAATTACAATTATTTGTTTATAAACCACTTCATTTTTTAGGCTTCATTTTAATATTTTAATGATCTTGATATTATACACAACAACTACAATCAGTTTTATATTTCCTACATGTGTAAGGATTTGGTTTAGATTTACATATTGTATAAAAACAGGTATATTATTTACATTATAAATACAAGGTGGCGCAACAAAAACAAAACAGATTCATTTTAGGGAAGTAATTATTAATTCTCTCAGAAAAGGCTCAGATCAGTCGATTTTGTTTTAAAGGGACTTTGTTTTAAAGGAAATTAACTATGGTATATAGGTACAGCAACCTACGAGGGGTAACACCACCCCTAAAATCCTTGAAAGAAAGAAGGGTGAGTGATAGGTGAAGATTGTTCGATTCTCCTTCCACTTACAGTCAATAGTTTTTGAATTTCAAATTTTATTTTTACTTCACTTCAGGTTACTGAAATTAATGAATTAAGTTACTCCCTTAAAGCATTCATTTATTGAAAACCTAATGATAAATAAAACAACTAAAACAGAACTGTTTTGATTATTTGTCAGATGTCTGCAATTTATTTTTGTAAATATTGACTTATACTATTTACGGTTGATAATTTTGTGTTTTTGTTGTAACGTGACGTTTATTGTTGAGTTATCGCTGACTTTTATCAGGAAGCGTGTCAGTAACGGAGAAAGGATGCGTATGTCGCATCCTGAGATGACAAGTATCGTATCTTCCAAAACCAAGTTTCGAGATAATCGAATTTTAAAGATTGCCACGGTTCGAGTAATTTTAATATTGTGTATTCGCTGTGAGCCGATGAGTAGAGGGGATTTGACAGTTTTCACAAACGCTGTTAGTGGCAGTTTTGTGCATTTAACTTGTAAACATTCAAATAATGGCGAATATGGATTTTTCAAAAAGAAAAATATATGATACATGTAAAAATACTGGGTACAACAGTCATTGTAAATTTTATTCATTTCCTGTTGCCAAGCATAAAATAGTTCAAAGAGAAAAATGGATTATTGCTATCAACGAGAAAAATAAGTAAATAACCTATAATGCAAACATGATATTTGTATGGTGTAAAATTAAAAAAGCTATTATATTTCGAAACATTGCGTACATGCCCTGCATCAACTAAACCTTTTCCCTTTTTTGGTGTAGCTGGTTGAAATGGGATATCATGTGATATAGACTTAAAACCAGTATAATGTTTAATATCCATTTTGATAAAATTAAAACAAATTTAGGAGGTGGAGGCCATAAAAACGAAAGAAAGAAGACGAGAATTAAAACAAATTGATATCTAAGCACTAAGGCCTACGCACACAAAAAAAAACTGAGCAAAAACAGAATAAAATGTAAAATAAAAACAAGAATTACAACGTTACAGAGGTATAGGTAACCAGAATATAGACGTTTTAAGCGTCTATAACCTTAACTATTTGCTTTAACCATTAAATATTTTCATATAAACTTCTTCTTTTTCTCAATGACCTCTTGCGCAAGTAGTCATCAAGTCGCAAGAACTTATATCTTAAATATTATAATTATAATGAATAAAATAACAGGCGTAATTACTTTTACTATTAATTCTGTGTATTCGTTCATTAATCAGTTTACCATAATATTTCAGTTCATTATTTTGTATTTTTAAATAAATATCTATTTTTCTCGTTTTGTCATATTTCATTTACACTGATTTTACAAGAAAAAGTACAAGTTTCAAACCGCGAGAGAGCGCTACCGGCGAAACTGCCTACATTTTTCAAATACTTATTGTAACAATTTTGTACAATACAAAATAAATAAAAAAAACTTACCTGCGATTTGATAGTTATTATTGGAATGTTCTTTTTCGCTTGCTTTGTCGCTGCATCTGCCAACGGCCATAGTTCGTTGAGAGTTACAATAACTTTTGTCGAAGAATCCAAGAGTTGCCTACTGATTTCATCTAAAATGTTTTCAGTTGTCAATATTTGCATAATTTCAATCTGTAGATCATAATACAATGAAACGAATACAAATTCTTCTGGAAACGTAATCTGAATGATTATTCTGAATGATGTAAACAATTTTTTTGGTCGTAAGAGATAATGCATAAAAGCAACAATACAAATAAAAACTGTTCTAAACAAATGGAATTGAGGATTATGTTTCTAAACATCGAAATCAATAAAATTAATGGATTTAATGTAATGTTACCACGTTCACGTAACGCACTGGAGGTCACCACAGGATAATGAACAAAATTGCATTAGAAATGAGATAGACTTTATTCTAACCAATCTAAGATTTAGAAATTCCATTGTAGCGTTAAGACTTCTCCTGGAGCAGATTTTCCCTCAGCCATAACCTCCTTGTTACAAAAATGAAACTGAGGGTAAAAAAGATAATAAAATCCAAAAGTTGTAATACATTTTTTTATATAAAACATTAAAAAAAAATAATTTGGGCTAGAAAGGCTAGAAAATCCTTATTAAAATAATAAACGATTTTTAAAATTTTCCTTTATATTTTTTTTACTAAATCATTGTCATTGGTCATTGTCAAATAAAAATATTTTAAAAATTAAGTACTTCGCATTGTATATACAAATATATTTCTGATTTTCCAGAAGTGATTTATTTGTTTGTTATCATAAAAATATGACTTTCAGGAAAACACTTAAAAATATTTACTCTACATAAATCAACAATTTATTAATCGCAAATGAATCACAAACACCATTGTTTACCGAGACCATTCACCGACGACAATTACGTCATTTTCTTCCAATAAAATTGTTTTAACAAGTGTTGTTCAAAGGTCCATTGTTAGTTCCTTGTCATTGCGGAATAAACGTCCAGTTTCAATTTAGTATAATGTAAATGAGTTTAAATAAACAATTGACTGCAGTTGTATCTCAATAGGATTGCATGTATGCCTTTAAATGACCTTGTACGATAAACAACTTATAGAAAAGTTTTTATTGAAAAGGTCGAATAATACGATACAATTACAGGCAATTTTATATTGAATAATCATTAAATGAAAAATTGATGTTCAACAAATATTACACTCGTAGATAAATGCAATTACTATTTAAATGGGAATAAGTCACAATTAAAAGTTAAACTAACTTTAACCTTTAATTGTGGCTTATTCCAATTTAAATGATAATTACTTTAAAATGCCACACAGAAAATAGCTTCAAAACAATATCGTAGATAGAGAATTACTAAAAATCTGTAGCAAAACTGTACAAAGTAATCATTAACCCTGGAACCTCATACTTGGGTGTGAGATACCCATCGAGACACTTAACTGAATGTAGCATGCGCGAATCGCATTTCAATGTTAATACCGCTAGTAAATATCAGTCTGTAGTCTGCCAAGGACAAGTTTGTAGTTGCTGTCTCGTTTGAGCGATATTTTCCGATCACGAGAATTTATTGAATAAGCGCTAGGGTATGTAGCACCCATGTGTGAGGTTTCCGATAATTTATTAATTTTTCTTATAATTATCTTTTAGTGAAATAGCTTCATGTGGCTGGAAAGAAAACTGGGAAAAACGTCGTCCGTTGACCCAAGCTGAACTGGAAAGGGAAGCTGAACATTTATTTGATAATGAAAACAACGAGGATGATGGTGAAAATACCTTCGGTACCGATTCTGAATCTGAGGAGGATTATGTCGAAGAACAAAACTCCAATACCGACACTGATGAAAGTGAACAAAGTGATAGTGAAACAGATCATGAACCAGTGAGAAATGTTGCAAGTTTACTTGGCAAAAACGGGCAATCGTTGGTCTACAGAACAGCCCTCAAGGCGTGGTCGTACAACAGCCGCAAATCTTGTTATACGTTTACCGGACGGCAAAGGAAATGCCAGGATACTTCAGTCTCCTGAAGAAGCCCGGGAACTTACTACTTAATGAAGAAATGTTAGATGTTATCGTTCTTTTTACAAATGAAGAAATCATTCGCAAACGTGAAAGTATCACAGCGCAAAGTTACACCAAATTGACAAATAAAATAGAAGTTAAAGCCTTCATTGGGTTATTGTTCATATCTGGTGCATTACGTGTTTCTAACTCTAGTGTTGATGAACTTTGGTCCCTACAATTTGGAAATGAAATATTTCGTGCTACGATGTCGCAGCAGCGGTTTGCATTTCTAGCTGTATGCCTAAGGTTTGATGATAAAAATACAAGAGCAACAAGAAAAGCAGCGGATAAATTTGCACCCATACGCGAATTATGGGAAATCTTTATAAGCAACTGTACATCATACTACACCCCTTTTCAGCATTGTACTATCGATGAACAGCTCGTAGGATTCAGGGGGCAATGCCCATTTAAAATCTATATGAGTAGTAAGCCCGATAAATATGGAATAAAGATAATGATGATGAATGACTCTAAAACATTTTATATGGTTAACGCTATTCCATATATTGGAAAAGTCCAAACACAGGATAAGGAGTCAGTACCAGCTTTTTACGTTCGGAAATTGTCGGAACCAATACATGGAACCAACAGAAATATAACAGTAGATAATTGGTTTACTTCAATACCTCTTGCTGATGAAATGATGAGACAATTCAAACTAACTATCTTGGGTACACTAAGAAAAAATAAACGAGAAATTCCACCGTCTTTTCTCAGTAAAAAAGAAGTAGGTACATCATTATTTGCATTCGACGAAAATAAAACTATCATCTCATACACTCCAAATCCCAAAAAAGTGGTTCTTTTGCTGTCAACATTACATCATGATAATTCATTAAATGCTGATACAGGAAAACCAAACCTTATACACACCTATAATGAATCAAAAGGATGTACAGATACGTTCGATCAATTATGCCATTCTTATACTACATCACGAAAACGCAGACGATGGCCACTAAGAATTTTTTTTAACATGCTTGATGCAAGTGGCATAAATGCAATGGTGCTATTTTCTCTCGCAAATACCCATTGGAAAGAAACTGCATCTAATAATAGAAAATCTTTTCTGAAGTCTTTGGGAATGGCTTTAATTGAACCACTAATGCGAGAGAGACTTCAAATACCTTCTTTACCGAAATCACTCAGGCAATCAATTTGTGGCATTCTCCAAGTTGAAGACCTTCCAACACAACATCCCACAAGTTTAGTGAAGCAAACTAAGTGTTATCTCTACAAAGGAAAAGATAGAAAAACGAAGCATGCATGCTCGGCTTGCCATAAAGCATACTGCATGGAGCATAGAGCTAAACTGTGTTGTGAATGCAGTCACCAAAATGAGTGAAATTGAAATACCTGGCTAAGAATGACTATGAGTTCTATAATCAAAAGGTGTTAGATTTTAGTTAGAAAGACCATATTGTTATTATATTAAGGTAAAATATTTTGAATTAGGTTTCTGGTTTTTTAGAAAATGTTTGTTAAATATTTTTAAACATTTTTAATATTTTTTTCTTTTGTATTACTACAATTAAGAGAGAGAAAATAAAATGATTAATTTAATGATTCTTGTGTATTCAATAGTGACTAGACAGTCCCTGGAAATCATAAAATATTTACTTTTTTATTTATTTCTTCACAAAAAATCAATGGGTATTTGATACCCATATGTGAGGTGTAGATAAAAAAAAAAATAGGTGTGATATTCCAGGGTTAAGTTTCCAAAACATATAAGAGTGCAAAACAACATTTAAAGCAAGATCCTTACTATACAAAGGGTCGTCCAATACGAAGTTCTGAACTTTGGGACAGTTTTTGTCCAAATTTGAGCAAGCTGGTTTAGTAAACAATCAATTAATACCTGTACGTCGACGAAATGCAAGATCTAACCACAACATCCAGGAGAATTCGAAGCAGTTGATTTTACATCCCTATTAAGAGTTAAGAGACCTTTCACAAGCCACAACTTGGTTGCGACCTAGGAGCTGAAGATAAACGACCAATTTTGGATTAATGGATACCTCAACAAACATAATTGTCCAATTTGGGACGATACCAATACAGCTCAGAGATTAAACTTAATTTCTTTTTCATTTGAGTGTTATTCATCGTGTAGATATTTTTATGGATCATCTAGAGACAAAGATTTCAAAGCATCCCATATTCAAACAGTTTTTATATTGGTGGAAATACGTAGACGACATACTGGTATGTTTCACAATAACTAACAGAATAAAATCAATCCAAAAATTTTTGTAGATTTAAAAATAATCAGACTTAAAAACAAACATGACTTCTCCATATTTCATAAACCTACCCATACTGACAAGACTATACTCAATTCATCATCCCATCTCACACAATATAAACTGGCTGCCTATCATAGCATCTTACATAGATTAAGAGAAATTCCGATGTCAAAATACAACTTTGAGACAGAATTAAATATTATTAAGCAAATAGCAGTAAACAATGGATACAACGAACCAACAATTAATAAAATTTTAAATAAAAAACTACACAAGAAAGCCCCGAAATTAATATTTCCAGCACCAGAGAAAAAACCCAGTACCTTCTGGTTGATTACATATACTTGAATACATATATAAATAGCCAAACACATAAAAAAGAGGAATAACACCAGCTTTTAGAACAAATAACAACCTAGGCAAATATATTAATATTTGCCTAAGTATAATAAAAAGCACTTAAACAGTGGTGTATACAAACCCAAAAACTTACATCGGTCAAACTGCTAGACATTTAATAAACGAATAGTGGAACATAAAAGGGCTTTCAATAATAAAAAAACAGATTCTACAAACGCACTTCACGTTCTAGATCTTAATTATCCTTTTAATGACGAATTAAAAATTTTAAATTAACAAATTAAAGGCACATATAATTCTGAATTACCAACTTGAGACAAACAGTTCTCCCCTCTTCAACCTATTTTATTAAAGACTATAAAGTGTAAACGCATGCCAAAAATAGATCACTTAAGAAAGGCAATCAGCCGAAACAGCTGTAGTGATAAGATTTTATAATAAATTTTTGTGGAAGTTTTAATGGCATTTGGGAAAGCAGCCAAATAGCAAGTAGATCAATAAAATCTGTTGTTCCTAGAAAACTGAAAGATAACGAATTTGAGCTACCAAGTTAAGCATACCATGGACCATTACCAATTTCCCAAGCTGAGTATTACGATATACATGTGTTAAAACGATTTTGTCTTCCATAAAGGATTTTATAAAACATTGTTATACAAATGACAAATCTCTATGTAAGTTTATGTCAAAAATGGACATCGTTGGACAACTAGAATCTAATATTCTTAAGTTCAAATTCTTTTAAATAGGTAAAGAAATAATAAATAAGACTTACTCACAATCAATTTAATTTAACTATCAGACGACCGGTTTCGATTTCTACAATATGCAAAGCATCCTCAGGTCTCGATACAAAGTTAAACAAATGCTGAAATGATAAAAACCCATATTAGGGTGTTGTCTAATAAAGATAAACAAAGTAGATGTTGTAAATTACAATAATTATGCCAACATTACATGTCTGTGGTTCTATTTAAAAGAGTAAGTTGAATAAAAAGGTATAAAAGTTTTAAAAGTTTAAACATACAAGGTAAGGCCCACAAATTGTTATAAAATAGTCTATTAGATTGTAATAAATTATTAAATGAGCAAATAAATAAAATAAACATTACTTAAATGCCGATACTCTATTAATTGATGGATGGTAGAACATGGTTGAAACTAGTATGTATTGTTGAATGGAGAACTCAATTCTGTTATTGCAGTTGTTTCACAGTAATCGGGAAGTTCTTGAGGAGATAGATTTGATCCAATGAAGAAGAGATATGTGTGGGATTGTTTGTTAAATGAGAGTGATGTAATATACCATTGTATTATTAAAAGTTACTTATACTTATTCGAGAGATATATTTATGAAATGTGTGTTATTTATTGAGTAATTGTTTTATGAAGGTGACAGTTTTATGACAATGAAACATTGTCATTGTCAAACATTTTTTTTTAAATTGTCTGTTTAAACTTTTAAAACTTTTATACCTTTTTATTCAACTTACTCTTTTAAATAAAACCACAGACATGTAATATTTGCATAATTATTGTAATTTCCAACATCTACTTTGTTTATCTTTATTAGACAGCACCCTAATATGGGTTTTTATCATTTCAGCATTTGTTTACCTTTGTATCGAGACCTGAGGATGCTTTGCATATTGTAGAAAGCGAAACCGGTCGTCTGATAGTTAAATTAAATTGATTGTAAGTCTTATTTATTATTTCTTTACCTATTTGAAATGGACTCACACAAGCAACACATTCATGATTCAAATTCTTTTGTTTAGCAATATTGGCTTACAGTTTCATTTATTTTTAAGATCGTAACAAGCGGCTTGGTAATGTTAATTAGCTTTTCTCTGTAAGTTACTTTTGTGACATCGTTTGTTTTTTCTCCGTACTCTTCACGTGTGTTTTTTCAACAATATGGTTTTAGTTTAAGTGATTTTGTTTTGTATTATTACACAATATGAAATTCAAATAATATTCAACTACAACCGCTACAAATCGGTCTATAACAATCCAGATAAAAATAACATAAGTCGTTCGGAGAAGTGGTAGCTTGGAAGAATTATTTGCTGAAAGAAAACTGGTCCAGAAAATGGCCAATTATTAAGAAAAAACTACGGAACGTGCTGATGGATAACACCAAAGTAACTAAACAAATATATAAAGATGATCAACGCCAAGAGCTTGTTAGCCAAATCTCTGACGAGGTGGAAGACGAACCTGATATACTCGAAAATGAAGTAAGACAGGCTATCAACAAGCTCAAATATAACAAAGCACCAGGTACAGATATGATTACAGCAGAAATGTTTAAAGCCACAGAAGAAACCGGCGTAAAGTTACTTCATCTACTCTAACCAAATATGGCATTCCAAACAATGGCCTGAAGACTGGACAAAATCTACAATAACGACCATACATAAAAAAGGCAGCTTCCATAAATGCGACAATTATAGAACTATCTCTTATATCCCATGCCAGCAAGATAATGCTAAATATAATCAATGAAAGACTGAAAACATTCCTTCAAAGAGAAATTCCACAAGAGCAAACTGGATTTACCAAAGGTAGAGGCACTCGAGAACACCTGCTGAATATAAGACAGATAATCGAGAAATCTAGGGAATTCAACATCCCACTATACATCTGTTTTATAGATTACCGTAAAGCGTTCGACAGGGTCAAGTGGAGACACTTATGGCGTATACTAAAAGAAGTAGGCGTACCACAACATCTAATTACGCTTATAACCGAACTATATGAACACACTACTGGATCAGTTAAAGTACTTGACACACTTTCGAACGAGTTTCATCCAGAACGGGGTGTCAGACAAGGATGTATACTATCTCCACAATTATTCAACATATATGGGGAGTATATTATGCGAAGAGCACTTGAAGGATGGGAAAAGGGCATCTCAATAAATGGTCATAAACTAAACAACCTACGTTTCGCAGATGACACAGCCCTTCTTGCAAATAGTCAAGCAGAGTCTGTAATTAAACATATCAAAGACAAAGATCATGATAGTGGATAGACTACACAACAATCATCCACACATAACCACAATTGACCGGTTCGAGGTTGTGAGCTCATACTTATATCTGGGATCATTAATCACAAACACAGGGTCATTACAAGAAGAGATTAAACGTAGATGTGATCTAGCAAAAGTTGCCACAGCAAAAATGACCAAAATATGGAAGGACTGTCAAATTTCAAGAGCAATAAAGATGAGGTTGATCAACTGCTTAATATTCCCAATACTGACCTACGGATGTGAATCTTGGACTCTGAGACAATCGGAGAGAAGAAAGATAGACGCCACTGAAATGTTCTGTTGGAGACGAATGTTACGAATTCCTTGGACCGACCGTAGAACAAATAATTCAATTTTAAGAGAGCTAAAAGTTAGCCAACGACTCTCTAGTAGTCCATCTCCAACAATTAAAATATTTTGGGCATGTTATGAGAGCAAACACAGAAAACATGGAAAGACTCATAATACAAGGAAAGGTAGAAGGCCGAAGATCACGAGGAAGATCCCCAACAAGATGGATAGATTAAATTACAGGAATATGCCAAAGACCTATGCATGAATTAAAAGAAATGACCAGAGACAGAGATCTCTGGAGAAGGACAATACACGACATCACGTCGACCACTACACTCCCCCTGGGGGGTCAGGATTGAAGAGAGAGAACTGAACAAAAAAAGGGGAATGAAAAGGGAGAACAATGACATAGAGAATACTTACATATCGGCATTTTCTTTATTGTTGTTATTTATACATACCTGCTGTATATATTGGATTCACAGTCGTACAAATCAATCCTGCCCTTATTGCACCCAATGTAACGATTGGAAACTCGGGAACGTTTGGCAATAAAATGGCGATTGTGTCGTTCTTCTCAAGTTTAAACTTTTTGCGAAGAGCTGCTCCAAAGTTTTTGGATTTTGTCCTAAGCTGCGAATAGGTGTAATTCCTTCCAGTTACGGCACATTCCTAGAAAGACACATATAACAAGATTAAAACATTATTGCTAGTAATTCGTTTGTTATTTTTTAATTAATTATTGGGGATACCAGTATAGCCTGTAAGCGTAGGTATTACAGAATGAGATATTAGGGTAATTACTAAATACGGGCACTTCTGCTTTGAGTTTAACAAACCCGGCTTCGAAACTCAACCGTAGACAAAAACAGAGAAAGCTAAGAATCGGCACATGGAATGTGCAGGGCTGGAGAACAAAAGCCAGTGAAGTAACATCACAAATCGAAAAGATGAATCTTGATATCCTCGTCACAACGGAAACAAAAAAAGAAAGAAAACTGCACTGAAAGAATAGGGGAACTAATCCATTGTTGGAGCGGAGTAGAAAAGAAAGACCGCGCAAAAGCTGTAGTTTTAATTCTACTAAAGATAAAATGGGAAAAATCTATAGACGATTGGGAACCCATAAACGAGAGAATTGCCAAACTGAAAATCAAGATGTATGGCAGAGAAATTATAATACTAGTAGCATACGGTCCAACGGAAGACAGTTCAGCCAATGAGAAAGAACGATTTATCGAACAACTTTAGGAACAAATGGATAAGAGAAAACCTAAACAAGAAATAATAATAGTGGGGGATCTAAATGGAAGAGTCGGAAGAAAAGACAATGACAGAACAGTTGGTCCATTTGGAGAAGACACAATTAACGACAACGGAAGAAAGATTGATAGAACTATGTGAAGTAAATGATTTAAAAATTATGAACGGATTCTACAAACACAAAAAAAAACATAAGTACACATGGACTCAAGAGACAAGAAAACTAAGATCCATTATTGACTACATTATCATGAACCACAAAAGCTCCATCAAAGTGAAAGACACCAGAGTAAAAAGAGGGGCAGAGTGTGGAACAGATCACAAACTTGTAGTGGCATGGATGGAATTCCCTATATCTGGACAAAACAAAAACATACATCGATTGTTACAACGGGAACGACAATAAACGAAAAGAGGCTCAAATTACATCTATTACAGGAAGAATCAATAAAAGAGCTATTACAAAAGAAGACTAGACCAAAAACTAGAAGAATTCAGATATGACACGTTAGATGAATTGCATGAACACAAAAACCTGCCTGATTTCAGCTGCCTTAGAAGCTCTTGGAGAAGACGACCAAAGGAACACCCATCAGAATATCACATTAAGGGAAGACACATTGAAATGTATAAAAGAAAAGAAAAAACTACACATAAAATACCTAAACACCAAAAAACAGGAAGACTTAGACCTATATAGAGCGAAAAACAGAGAGGTAAAGAAAAGAGTAACAAATGAAAAGAACGAACGATGGGAACAAGCATGCACAGAGATAGAACGACATATCGGAGGAACGAGAAATTTAGAATCATGGCGAATATTAAAAGCACTACAACGAAATAAGACAGAGAAAACCCTGAGCGGCAAAATTAGTGAAAACGAGTGACAAGAATACTACGTAGAACTACTTACAGAAAACCGTCTCCAATTTCACGAAGAGAATACAGAACATGCAGGAAATGGGACATACGACCTGATAGAAATAAGTCTGACAGAAGTCAAGAGAGCAATCAAGACATTGAAGAACAAAAAAGCCAAAGAAAGGACCTGGAGATATACCAAACGAACTAATTAAAAACGGAATGGAAACAGTTATTCCGCATGCTACACAGAATGTTCGAAAGAGGACTAAATGGAGAGGAAATACCTGCGGAATGGACACAAGTATACATCACATCCATACATAAGAAAGGAAACAGGAAAAAATGTGAAAACTACAGAGGAATTAGTATAATATGGTCGGTAGGTAGACTTTACGGGAAAATTATCAAGGAAAAATTGGAGAAGACCAAACAGGGTTCACAGTAGGAAAATCATGCCTTGATCATACGTACACATTAGAACAACTGATAAAGAAGAAAATGGCAAAAGGTAGACCGATCCATCTGGCGTTTGTTGATCTAAAGAAAGCATACGACTCAATACCTAGAGTCAAATTATGGGAAGCAGTGAATGATCTCGGAATCCGACAAACACTAATAAAAGCACTTAAAGCACTGTACAAAGAAAACAAAGTAGCTATTAAATGTGGAAATAAAGCCTACAATCCATTTAAGACGACAAAAGGACTTCTACAAGGCTGTGCTACGTCCCCTACTCTGTTTAAAATATTCTTGGAAAAGACACTCAAACCATGGAGGAGAAAGTGCGAAGGAATGGGCATACCAGTAAGAGACGAATACCTATACACCTTAAGCTTTGCCGACGATCAAGTAGTCATCGCACAAGATGAAGAAGATCTCAGCTTTATGCTCAGAAAACTAAAGGGGAATATAAAAACAACGGAATGGAAATAAACTTAGAGAAAACCGAATACCTAACAACAGAAAACAAGGATATGAGAAACCTAGAGATAGACGAGGGAAGACAAGTAAATGGAACAGATAAATTCAAGTATTTAGGAACCATAATATCGAACCAGGGAACAACAGAAGAAGATATAAACAACAGACTAAGACATACAAGAAACTGTATAAGAAAACTAAATTCAGTGCTGTGGGATAAGAACATTACGATAAAGACAAAAAAGAGAATATATAATACCCTGACAAGAAGTATCCTGACATATGGGTCCGAAAACTGGACAATAAACAAGAACAATAGATGTAGAATAAGAGCAGTAGAAATGGAGTTCCTGAGGAGAAGCTGTAGATTTACAAAAGAGACAGAATTGAAAACGCAGAGATTAAGCGGAGAATGGGAGTGAAATCAGACATAATCGACTATATAGAGGAGAAGAGACTATCTTGGTACGGCCACGTCAGAAGAGCGGACAGAGGACGCTGGATAAACAAAATTACAGAATGGAGACCGATCGGAAGAAGAAAGAGAGGAAGACTCCGAAGGTCATTCAGAAACGAAATCGACGAGGCTATGGAGAAAAGAACCCTGCGAGATGGAGACTGGAATGACAGGGAAAATTGAAGAAAACGGTCGAGTGAAGAAAGACAGTGAAAACTGTGGAAATCCTTAGTAGTAGTACTAAATAAGAGCAAATTAGGACCGTGATAAAGTAAATACCTTCTTAAATTGTATTTTCTTTCAAATTTTTATTTAAAAAATTGACTTTAGTGAATATCCAACTTCTGTTAGTAGAACAGTTTTAACAGTTACCCTTGAGTCTCACTATAATTAAAACTACAAGTTTACTGATAACATTGTAATTAATCTAGTGTGAAAACCTTTTAAATTTGCATTAAATGTAGACGATAAGAAGCGAACAATACTAACAATCTATTAATAACCTACTTTACATGCTTGCATTTTGTTATCTCCGAGTGCAGTTCAAGTTATACATAATGGTTGTGAAAGTCATTTTGATTAATTAAAAACTGTCCTCATTATGTTATACAAGTGTATTTAGAAATCTTTACGATCAATATACTCAAGTACTTTATATTTTTTGGTCAATAGAAATAAATCAACTTATAGCAAAATCTAAAAAGGTATCGATTAGGATGGGTACCGTCTTCAAAAGCCTAAATTTGCACCCAAAAACTTAACTCATAACATGCCACAAAAAGGTCGTATGCTATAAGTTACATCTTCATGGTTTTAGCACTCTTTTATTGGAGGTTGATGAAGACACTGGAGGAGTTAAAAATGTGGTCGTCCTCCACATTCCTTGAGCGCTTGTTGGGGCATAGTGACACTTGGCTCCGATCATGTACCATAGCCCTCTCCACAGCTACGTTTTACTATAAATTCCTTACTGCGATAAACCATGTCCCATCCCTTTAAACTTCCAAAAACCATCACTCCCTGTTGAAGGACAGCATCGATCATCGGTACCCACTCAAGATGCAAAGGAAATGGTCCTAAATCAACTTGAAACTGGACCAGCACAAACATAATAGAGAAGTTTGAATAGTTGTGGTACTGCGATGAGAAAAGCAACTGGAAACCACTCCATAGTTATTGTTCCCTAGTTCATTCATCATAGCTGAAACTCTGACATATTATTTTACTGATTAGAGATTTCGGAAAAAAAATCCGGCAGAGAAGGCATACCTCAAACAGATCACATCACCTCCCGGGTCCTAATCTACAACGACTACATGGGAAGTGTATATCTCCTTGATTCTGGGAAGTTGTATTGAAATATTATTTACGAATATTTTTTCTTTTCATTGACTTGACAGCCGTGAACTGTTGGTTATTAGCCAAAAGAGCGAAGAAATTTGATTTACCCCTTTTGGATAACAAACTAGCAATAGCCGATGCTCTATGCAAAGCCGGAAAATCAATTAAACAGAACAGAGTAGAAAGACCGTCAAGTAGTAGCAATCAGCAGATGTACGAGAACAAACGAAAAAAGGAACCCACTAAAGAAATAAAAGACATCTGTCAAGTTGGGCTTGATCATTTTCCCTATTGGGATGAGAGCACTAGGTCAAGATGCAAATTTCCAGGCTGTACAGGGAAAACATATATAGTGTGCACAAAATGCATAATACTGTTGTGTATTAATAAAGACTGCAGGGCCTCTCAGGTCGTTAATATGCGAAATCCTTGCAAAATAGCCACATGGAACGTCAGAAGCATGTTTGAGTCAGGTTAAAATATATAATGCCATAAAAGAAATGAAAAGAATGCAAATCAGCATCCTCGGAATAAGCGAAATGCGATGGCCGGATCAGGAGTATGTGACGTAGATGGATATCAAGTGTACCATGCCGGAAATAAAGATGCCAATCACTATAATGGAGTTGCAATCGTAGTAGCAAAACACTTAGCTCAATCAGTTTTAACTTATATTCCCATATCTGACAGAGTAATGCTAGTAAAATTTAGTTCAAAGCCGTTCATTACCAACGTAATTCAGGTCTATGCCCCAACATCATCTAGTGATGAAGATAAATTAGAAGCATTCTACAAAGATCTTACTGATGCTCTAGATCTTGTCAAA